GCTGACAGCAATTGGCTAAGGGGCCGTGGCTCTCCATACACCCTCATCCACCCGAGACTATGAATGGACATAAGCTTTGTCAGTCATTTGTAAGGCGTTGGAGCCAGATTCTTCTCTAGTTCTTTCTTTTAGTCTTTTCTTCCATTCCTAAGTTGCACTTCATTCTGAATAAGTTCAGAGTAGCGCTAGGGAGGAGTGAGGCCTAGCTAAAAAGGCCACCCCTCATGGCCTTACTGTGACCTTTGCTTATATAGCTGGGGGAGTGCAGCGTAGAAACCCTTCAAGAGAAAAACAAATTACCGTAAACTCGCAAACTGAGCCTTTTCTCCCCTTTCCAAACAGAAGCATATTAATTATTTAAGGGACACCCCATACACTGCACACAAGCCCCAGTTTCTAAGACCCAGCTGCTCATAGGAAGCAATCTGTTGCATGCATGCAGGTACTAATGAGGCTTTGCCACCATTCGGTCCGGGCCAACTGCGGGGCCTCTGCATTGAGCAGAAACAAAAACAAAACCGAAAAACAACCTAGCAATTTTGCCTGCATCCCTAAGCTCTTGTCCTCACCCTAGACGACCAACCTGAGGTGGGGGGCGGGAGGTATGGCACAGAACTACCTTTCCTGTCCCCAATTACTTGACCCCGAGTGCAGACCTGAGGCAGGAGTGAGCTGGTACCAGCCAAGAGGTCTCAAGAGCCCTCCCCCGGGTTTGGACTCCACTACAGCATAACCCCCGGGGATCTTCCTTCCCACACTCTTATCTCCTCAACCTTCACTCTATCTAGCAGTGCGGCCACAGGTTGGGCACCCTGGTGCGCACCCCTCCACAGAGCGGCCAGGAGCCGGGGAGCTGAAACCCAACATCTGTGCGTACAATGCTCTCTTCAAGGCCCACAGCTGCAGAACAAGAGGAAGAAAGGAAAGTGTGGGGGAGCAGATCCTGTCATACGCAGATGACAGACTGCGGAGGGCTCTTTAGTTCCTCTTTTTCTCGAAACCCCGACGGCCCCCCCCCCATTCCCTCTTCTGCCGCCTTCCCATTGTTCCCTGCACTTGGGACAGCTGGAGACGACGGCCAGCACAACCCAACACCCCTCCACCCCCATCCCTCCGCACACCCGAAGGCCGCAGAGCCTTCTCATGGACCACTGGACAAATCCACTGCAGGCCAAGAGGGAAACAACGAGAGCTCCCCGTCTTTTTTAGCAACCGGGCGAAGCCCCAGGTCTGCCTGGTGCAAAAGGAGGGCGCTCCCGCTGCCAGAGGGCTGGGCTCCCCAAAAGAGGGCCCATGCTATGGAGCAACTGTTTCTATTGGTGCTGCTTCCAAAGGATGGCTTCCTCTGGTTGCAGCGTAAAGTCTTTTGTTAGTTCTAATTTGCAGGGACCCTAGAGACCTGGGGTGGCTTTGTAACCTGCCCCAAACCTGTGGGTGTGAGTAGGTTGCAAAAGGCAGCTGGTGACTTCATGGGGAAGATGAGTTTGGAGGGTGGCAAAGAAGAGAAACCGATCTTCTCCCAAGAGCGACTCCTCCTATGATACAGTAGGCGGGGAGGAGTCACTCACTTGGGCTATGGAGTGCACCTATGACAGAGGATAGACCCTGCAGACAGCCCTCAAAACTGGCTCTCCACCGGGTTCTCTGTAGAGAAGTGGTTCCCCTCAGCTGTTCCACAGAAGGCCCAGGGCTCCAGTGCTTTGAGGCCAGTTGGCTACAGGCCTGTCATGGCAAAGACCAGGATGGAGGCGGTGGTGGTTCTTCTCAAACCCTGCTATTATCCTTAGGGCTCAGTCCACTGGAGTACCTGGTGCCTTGAGTTCCCAGAAGTCTCCCAAACAAGCCCTGGTTCAGCATAGAGCTGAGAAGGCGGAAAGAAGGGAAAGAGGGTCCGGCGTACTGGAGCTCTGGCATGGGGAGTAGGGAGAAGACAAGACGGGAACATAGAATGGGAGCGAGGCCCGGGGGAGGGGACCTGCCGCCCTCAGCCTCTCAGGCAACCAGGCCTCTCCATAGCAACGGCCCGCCTGTTCGCACTCCTCCTCTTCCTCTCCTCCTCCTCCCCTCCCCCCTCCTCCTCCTTCTCCTCCTCCTTTTCTTCTTCCCCCTCCCTCTCTCCTCTCTTTCTCCTTTCTTCCCTCTCTTTCTCCCTCCCCCCAACAGGACTTGGGAAATGGATCACAGAATATTGGGACTGGGAACACAGGCTTCCTCTCGGTGATGAGATCAGCCTCCCAGGTGTCTTGTGTACCCTTAGGAATGGAGATCCATCACTCAACAACAGTTCGAGGACGCTCCAGGTCCCAAGCTCACCTTTTGAGATGCTAAGGTACCTGGCATTCCTACTGCAGTCACAGAGTCTTACGGACCGGGAGGCGCAGCAGGGAATACAGGGGCCTGGCTGCCCAGGGCGAGGTGCCCGCACTAGGCGCCCCCCCCCCGAGATCTGGGCGGGGCAGCGGTATCCTGGGGAGCGCCGGCTGGGGGTAGGAACGCTCACAGCCTCCGGGAGTTCGCGGCCCAGTGTGCTCCAGCCCCAGAGCCAGCGCGGCGAACTCAGTGAGAAGCGGAGCATTGAGAAGATCCTAAAGACCACAAGGTGCTTGGCACATACCAAGACGCGGCTCAGCGCCATCCTACTGTTACATTCCACTTGCTTTTCTCGCCTTCCGTGGTCCGGAGCCACAGGCAGGTGTGGGATACAGTACCTCTGCTCCAAGTGGCTTGAAACCCCTCGTGGCTAATTCGGACGAACCAACGGCGGCTAGAGAGGGCCAGGGCCCAGGGCATCTGCAAGCCAGAAAAGGGCGCACTGCACACCGCCCCCACGAGCCGGCAGGCAGCCAGTTTGATTTTCTATAAGCATCAAGAGACTGAAAATCCGTAAGTAGAGGCATTTGTTTTACTTTAGTTTTTCAGTGTCCCAAAGGGTTCCTGCCATGTCTGAGCACCATGCTTCGGATTTAATCGGAATCCAATGACCGATCTGCCTTTCCCCATGCTTTGAGAAAGAGATGCAATAAGTTGCATTTTGGTCATCTTTTCGATAGTGAAATGGGCTTAAAGCCACCGCGCAGTTGTTTCTATCTAGAAAAGTTTATTTTCTCACCGGTGACCCTTAGTGCTTCTCACGCCTATGGCTGTTGTTGCCTCGGGGTAGCAGAGTAGGTGGGCCTTGAAGAGGGGAGCCCCAGACCCACATTCTGACTGCAGAGACACGGAGCAGGTCCAGTCTGAAAGCCAGACAAACTTGCTGTCCATGCTGTAACGGACAGAGTTTGTACTTCACGTGCCAACTCTTTTTGTCTAGAAACTGATAAACCAACCCAGAAGGTCATTGTTTTTCCCCTTCTTTTAAAATTCTTATTTTCAGGGCAGGGAAAGTTCATTATAAAAGTTTCTCAACAACGATAATTCAGCAATCCTCAAAAAGGATAGTGATTTTTTTTTCTAAATCACAAAAGCTTAGATCGTATTTCATAATACACTTCCCTATACATGATTTCAGTAACATTTCTAGAAAAATTTAAACACAAAATATGCATGAGACATATTGCTTGGACTCTTTTATAGATGGCAAACGGGTATATTATTTATATAGAAGTTAGGAATGGTTGGCTGATTGACTTGTTGGAGTCTGCTAAGTCTTCACTAAAGCACATTTTACGTTTGTCATGTGGGAAGCTAACTTGCTATGATAAGAATCTCATTTTCAATTTAGGGACCAGAGTAGCCTTGAAGAGCACTCAGCTCAGTGATTACAGCCACTCTCCAGCACACAGACTTATTAAAGAATATGTAGTTTAAAGCAAATAGACAAAGGCTGCTATGGGAGGCACACTTGTGGCAAGATAAAACACAATCTCGGGAAGTTTAAATGGTGTGGTAAGAGTAGACAAGGATTTTAAAAGTGCTTGATTTTGGGACACTAAACCAACTTTTTAAAAAGCAAGCACTAACTTATAAATATAGCTCACATGTAGCATTTAATATACCTTTGATTTAGGAATCCATTTATAAAATGATTTTAAATTATTAATTGAAAGTGGAAGCAGAGTTTTAATGATGATGATTATTATTTTGGTAGCACTTTTCTCACAGCCATGAAAGAGATACTTTTGACAAGCAGAATGTCTGGCTGGGTCAGCTTGCCAGAAGCCATGGCGCCCTGCATCCTCTGAACTCAGCCTGGGAACCTCCACCTTCCCCGGTCCTCCCAGGAGTTTTTGTTTTCACTTTTCAAAGATCATCTCTGGGAGACCAGCAAATCAGCCCCTGGTGCCTCAAGGGCCAGCCACCCAGGCTTGCAGACTGCTAACAAGCTTCACCCCACAAGCACAGTCAGGTCAAGAGCAGGTGTCTCCTGGGGGTCGGGGGCAGAGGGCTGCCTTGTTATTTGAGGAGCTGTTAGGTGTGGTCTCAAGGCACTGACCTCACTTTAAAATTGGGAGAAACTGAGACATCCTAAAACTATTCACTCAAATATTTTACTTGAATTAAGGGAAAAATAAATACTTCTTTACTCTACACACACGCACACACACACATACACACACGCACACACACACACACACACACACACGCACAAAGGAAATCATTTTTGGTGGGATGAGGAGAGGGAATTGCCAGCACAGCTTTTCTTATTAGTTCTAGCATTAGCTCATCTTCTCATTGGTCTAATGTTTTGTAATTGGGAAAAATAGGCACTGCACTATGGAATATGGTGACTTAGCATAAAAATGAAGAAGTGCTGGCTGGACAGATGACTCAGTGGGTAAAAGAGTTTGCTGCAGAACGTGGTCCTCTGCAGTGTGGCAGGCACACACTCATTTCCCCAGCAAGTGAGTATAAAAATTACCTAAATAAAAAGTGTGTTTCAGCCAGAAATTTATGGTTGATAAATTGGTTAGCAAATATGTGGTGATTTTGTAGACTTTTCTTTCCAGAAACTTTGAAATTATAATTCAAAGGACACGACAAGCCCCAGGCCTCTGTTATTGCTGTTAGTAGTTTTCCTCGTTAAAAACAGTGTTCTAAAGGACATGTGCTCCTGGGGCAGTCATTTGCAAACAGAATGCTATCCCTGGAGGCCCCTCTGGGTCTATTCTCAGTCTCCAGAAAGCCTACAAGATGAATGACTACTTCCGTCATTGGGAAGATGTAGCTATTTATTATTTGCACATAATACTATAAGTGCAAATCTAATGGCTGGTATTTAGGATAGTATGTCTATTGTGTGCTCATGAGTAGATTTTTAGTTCTCACAAATTTGGGCTAAAATTCCTTTGACTGAACCTTTGTAAGAACAGGGACAGAGATCTAACTTTTTTGAAAGTGGCTACATAATATCATTGTGCCCCAGGACATGCAAACAAGCCGCTTCTGTGGGGCATCTCAGGGCATCTCCATTTCCCATTAAACTCTCCTTCGGGTGAGGACCACAGTCCATTATCATCGCTTGGAAACAGGCCCTTCCTCAGATTGCTTTGGAATTGGAAGTAGAACAATTGAGGTAAATGTTTCACAGTTATGTAATTCTGCAATGCACTGTTCATATATTCTTTAAGAGAAATGAGTGTGTGTATTTTAACGTAGGGAAATAGGCTCCAGTTGACGGTATGCATGGCCACAGTCCAGCAAGCTCACCTTCCTGTCCTGGTATGATATTGCAGGTAAGTTTACAAATATTTAGATCGAATGATAATAAAAATTGGTTGTGGTGGTGACACCCGGGTGCTTCTCTGACAAAATGAAAAAGTTTCAGGCTTAGCTGTTACTTCGAAATATTTAGTGAAAGTAATTTCAAAACTCCATAAAAATCCACAAAGTTGCTTGATATAATAGTGAACTGAATACCATCTTTAAACTCCATCACCTTTCCTTTATGGACACGACATGATTTGGTGGTGTTTCAGGAGGTGTGGTTCACATTCACACAGGGCTCTGGGGACATTTTCACAGCTGTCCTCTATGATCTGTAGCAAGTTATACCCCTATTCAACATTGCTCAGTTCTTCTGAAATTCCCATTTAGATTTACCTTCAGAAATCTGATTTAATATTTTAAAACTATTTTTCACTTCTGACTGCCCCAAATTCTATGGCCTAATCACCTGTTTCTCTGTCCCTATCTCCAGTGACTTTTGACTATTTAAAAGATAGAGCTTTTAAGAAAGATTGTTTCTTATCATTATTTTAATAAGCCTTTTCAGAAGGTTCATGCTGAGTAGGCATGCCTAACGCCATTAGGAAGTGACTCGCTCTTCTGTGTGTCAGCTGTGGAAAAAGACCCTCAGCTGCTGTCCAAGCATGGTCACAGTTCTCCTTTGTCTTCTCCGTGACCAACAGTGGCACCCAGTTGACCTTACTTCTCATCCCTTTTAGGATGGAGGTGTCAGTCCAGGCGGTCCAGATCCATCCCCACTGCTCTCCACCAAGTGGTCTCCTCAGTCCATCTGACTAGTTCATGTCTCTCAATAAGGCCTCCACTATCTCTTCTTCATACCTAGCAGGTTAGCTCTTTTCATCTAAGCAACTAGGTAACATAGTAGAGACCTGGACCAACCACATCAACTGCTCTTTGCAGAGGAGCACGTGGTAGCTGGAAACAGGACTCCACCTGCAACCATTCTCTCTTCCCCTAGGCTCTGGCCAATGGGACTGCGGCCTGCAGCGGTCTTTCACTGACTTTATTAAAATTATAAAGACCTGTCGTCATTTCACACACATATGTCTATGGTTTCACTTTCTGTGTTTTGTTAGCTACGGTAAGTTGTAGACCATAAATATCAAATGGTCAAAAATCAAATATAATTCCAGAAATAAAAATACATGCCATCCTACCCTGTACTGTCCTCCTTATGGTTCAGCCCTCTGTCCAGTGTATCCAAGCTGTATATACTACACTCCAGCAGCCACTTAGCTGTTTCAGGTAATGCCTAGGATTGCATTCAAACCTTATTTTCTTTAATAACAGCCCAAAGCACAACGCTGGCAATTTAGACATGTCAAAGAAAAGCTATAAGATGCTTCTTTCAAGTGAAAAGCTGCAAAAAGTTCTTAATTTAATAAGGAAGAAAATATGGTATATTGTGGTTGCCAAGACCTACAGTATAGTACAGTATGCTATGCACCAGGGTTCTGCACTGTCCCCGGCTGAGGCATCCACTGAGGACACTGGAAGATGTCATCAGTAGATAAGGGAGCTGTGGTATGTAGACTATCTCACCCTCACACACACACAATATGCCCACACCAAGCCATACTCGAGGCACCTCACACATTCACATGCTCACACACGTGTACAATATGCTCACACTAATACATACAAACCACTCAACACACACATAGCTTACACATGTGCTTATACAGCATGTATACCACCTCACATGCACACCACCTTATATAGCTCACACACATGCTCACATTAATTTCCATACAACCACCTCACTTGCTACATACATGCACACATACTTTACAAAATAGTGGTACTAATCCCCTGCCTCACATACATGCACATGCAGCTCACATGCACGCAACAACCTATATGCATACTAACTCATATACATGCTCATGCAGCTCATATGCATGTTCACACTTCACATACATGCACATAACTGACACATCATATTAACTCATCCACTCTCTCACACATGTATTCTCCCACTGTTCACATACATACACAGTACCTCACATGCCTGTTTATACAGCTCACAGATGCATGCATAACATAATACATACATATATATTAACAATAACACATGTGCTGACCACCTCACATATATGTACACATTTATCTGCTTTTCATATACACTCATGCAGTTTACTCACAGTTTTACACAGTAACACTCATATATGTTCTTCAGCCATCCCATGCACTGTTGAGGCTTTGCACATGTATAAATGAGTGGGTATTGACTTGTATCTCCTTAGCTGCTGTTCTATATTTCATTTTTATCTCTCCCAAGACCCATGTGATTTGTGCATTTCGATTCCAGTTTTATGGATAAAGAGACCAGACTGCTATGAAATAAATGAAAACTTACAAATGGATGAGTACTGGATCCTTGGTTAACACACACTCTCACCACACACATTTCCCAGGGAAGATCTTTGCTTTAACAATACTCTCCAGCCAGCACCAGGTGAGTGGTGTGGAGCTCTGAGGAAGGCCATGGGCTCCTTGGCCTCCACTGGATCCTGCAAGTCTCTCCTCATTGTACAATAACAGCTGTTATTTGAGAAATAACTCAACAGTCACAGCTGTCAGTAAATAAAACAACTCTCTTCCTAATCTTCTGTGTGCTGTATTGTAGGCTGTTATGAATGAGGCTTCTCTGATGCTCACATTGACCAAAAGCATCAGCTATCTGTCTTCCCATAGCCTCATGGCCATGGCTCCATGTTTCTGTGTGTGGTTCTGGAGCACACAGTGCAGATTGTGTCCTGTGTTGTGGTGTAGGCTTTATGTGAGAAAGTTCTAGTTCTGGGATTGGCCACATAGTTACAAGGAATGATGGCTTTGCCAGAAGATGACAGCATGTTAAAAAGGTGCTGTGGAGTGTGCCTTTTGTAGCAGAAAGACCTCATGGTGCACGCATGTGGTCTGCAGGTCCTGCGCTGTTCATTTTGTCCATCTGGCAAGTGAATGGCTGGCCCAATGTTGGTGAGATATCAAGGTTGCTGTTCCCGCCCAGTTGTTAGCATGTGCAGGATAATAACACTTGCTGGGGAAAATAGGCCCTCAGTCAGCCCAATATTTCAACATTGTTTTGATTCTCAATTATCTATGGTTTTGATTTTTGTTGAATTAATTCCACCACAAACACAAACAGAAACTCGTGGGGGTACCACCCAGTATCCACACTGAGCAGTGATAGCACTGCTGAAACCGAATTGCCTCTCCATCTCTTGGTCCAGGAGACCAAGAGGATAGAGTGTCTAGGAATCTTGGGGCATCTGTCAGGCCTCAGCTGCCAATATGACCATTTTCAAGTTGTTGCCATTTTGAGACATGTTGCTCTCAAGAGAAAGCTGAAGACAGAACTTGTGGGAAACCATACAAGCTTTTTTTTTTTTTGTGACAGAGTCTTGCCATGTGCCTCAAGCTGGTCTTCAGCCTCCCAACAGACATGCACTACTATACTCTTCATAGAAACCATAATAAGTTAAAGTATAGTGAAAGAAAAGGGTCATAACCACATTATGAAAAGTAGAGAAGGATGCATTAGGAAGTGTTACTAAGGCTAGCCTGTGGCAAAGCCATCAGAACTTGATTGTTGATCCTGAAATTTTACTGTGTGGCAGCCAATCCTCAACTCCTGGGGCTGGAGTTTGGTAAGTATGATAGAAATCACTTTCAAGATGAGATGAGAAGAGCCTTGCTGTCTCTCCAGCTGTGAGTAAAGCCAGCTGCCAGGTATGAACTGTTGGAGAAAGGCTCATGGAACCACGCCCGGGGTCTACAACTTTGCCAGTTGAGGTCACTGGTGTCATGGATTTGAGAGAGATCCTGCACCCAGTGAGCTCTGAGATGATGCTGACAGCTAGAAGCCATCACGGTGTCTCCAGATCCATGGCCCACTGCGGCTGTTAGATAAGAAGCACGGCTTTAGGTACTTGATTTTAGAAAAAACTTGTTACCCAGCAAAGCATGACCAGCAGAGCTAGGGGTGAACGTAAACAAGCTGTTGTATGGGAACCACTTCAGCACCCTCCAGAGAAGGTCCTCATGCCAGTTAATGAAAACCCCGTGCAATGGAGAGGGAGTCCTGTGCAGGGTAATCCTACAGAATTGCTATGCCCACTCAAACCAGGGCTCCCCAGCAGGACATGTAAGGTTCTCTGCTTACATGTCATGCCTCTGCCCAATAGCACCCACCCCGACCCCCATTCAGGTGGCGGCTTTCTGTAGGCCTTGTCTTCTTTCTTTTCTTTTAAAAAATATTATTATTATTATTATTATTATTATTATTATTATTATTGCTGTTGTGTTGTTGTTGGTGTGTGTGTGTGTGTCTGTGAAAATGAATGCCAGGTGAGGGCACCAGATGCCCTGGAGCTGGAGATACACATGATTATGAACTCCCAGATATGCATTTGGGCACCATATATGGGTCCTCTGGAAGAACAAGTGCTCCTAACACCAAGTCATCTCTCCAGCCCCACAAATGACGTTTCTTGAGAACAAAAGATTTTCTGAGACAGGGTCTCGTGTATTACAGGATGGTCTCAAACTTACTAAGCAGCGAGGATGACCTTGAACTTTTGATCTGCAGTTCTGGAACTGCAGGTGTTTGCCTTTACCCTTGAATCATGTGATTCTGAGGGTCAAACCCAGGGTTTCACACATGCTAGGCATATGCTCCTCCAACTGCCTCACAAATGAACTTTTTAAAAAGATTATTGCTACATTCTGTGTGCATGTGTGTGCGCGCACATGCACATGTACACACGTGTATATGTGTGCAAAAGCCACACTCTGTGTTCCTTGATGGTCTTACCACCCATTCACCCTCTTGATTTCACTTTTTTCTCATTCCTTGCTTTCCCCTGAAGATTGTCGCCACTAGACCATGCCCCCATCCACCCAATGGTACACACTGCTTTCTGTAGTGACTCACCTTAATTCCCTTCTTCTGGGTCCTTTGTCTACTGAATTGCAGCCCTTCCTAACCTTCTGCATGGCCTCTATGGTTGGCCGTAGTGTTGGAGGGTGAGCGTCTAGCTATTCCACAGCCCCTAAAGACACAGTAGATGGAGATAGAAAGAAGCAGCTGCCTGCGCTGTGAGCCAAGAGGATATTAACTACCTCTGCATTCTCGTCTGAAATTGCCATCACTGGACATGCCTTGTGCATGCTCAAACTTTTGTAAAACCACATAAAGCATCCTCATAAGCAGTTCTAGGCCTGTACACATGTTTGTTTAAAGCAATTTACTGTTGCAAATTGAAGCTTCATCTATGCCGGTGACACATGATTGACAATTCTCTCTGTGGGACTTTGAGTTCATAAACTAAAAAACATAACATCCTTACCTACAGGTGTATGATTTCCTTATCCTTTATACGGACAGAGGATGGGTCATAGTCACAATTTAATAACAACCCAAGCAGGGCTCAATAAGCGTCACCATGAGGAGCTGGAAATGTTCTTCTGCTTATTTCTCTGCTAGAGCCTGGCGAGCAGACAGGGTTTAGAAGGAGAGTGATTGCCACCTGAGAACCGACACTCGTCCAGCAGGATGTGGCAAGAAGCCTCCTGGGGCTCTGTGCTAAGATCTGGCTACCACACAGCCAAAGAGGAGGCTTCTCTCTTATGAGAGGGTACCTGGGGGTCACTGATGGGGGGCACATATCACAAATGACAAAGGCACCCAGTTCTGCACAGAAATTTCTAATACATTGTCTGAAATGAGCCACCTAATTTTATTTCTAAGAAAATTACCAAGATGAGTTTGACCTCTGAGAATCCTTTCAAGCCCTCTTCTCCACAAGTAACCAATAGCACACCTCTCAATGGATGGGAAGTTGAAGAGGGATTAGGAAATCATCTTCAGTGTCCGTTTATAACCGGATTACTTGGAGATTGTAAGGACAAAGGGACACAAGACCAGGGCCTCTGTCCTCTCCAAGTGGGCATTCCTGGCAAGCTCCTTGATGCCTGAAAGACACCTCTACACCTTGAGCTGTCTTTCTCCACATGCTCTGTAGGAAGGACTCCACAGCTCTGCAGACAAAGTCTAGAATTGATATACTTGGTTCAGGGCTAAAATGTTCCTGGTTTCTTGGGTGCCTGTCCTGAGTTTCAGGGGGTCCAGAAGTTCTGGAGGACAGCAGTGTCCCTAATTGTCTGGAAAACACACTTACAAAGTTTCATATCCTGGGGAGCTAAACTCCTGGGATAGACCATGAAAACAAGGGAGGAAAAGTCAGCTCAGCATAAATAACAAAGAAGTCTGGCAGGCTTAGGAAAGGACTGAGCTTTAAAAAGAAGTAGAGTCCAAAATGGGAGCTCGCATTGTAGTTTACCAAATTTAGACTTCAGTGAGGAACACACTGGATGCTAGAGAATTTGTGCACAGGGCGGTGCCAGAGAGGAGCGGTGCAGAGTGGGATGCCAAAGAGGGTGTGTTCACTCTGTAGGCACCAAAAGGGGCAAGTACAAAAGAGAGCATCGCCAACTGGGGATGCCAGAGAGTATGGTGCTATGTCTCAGCCATCCTGAGGCACCATGGAAGCTACTGGCCCACCACAGCATCTAGCTGTCTGACTTGGCAAATTGGCCTGAGTCAAGGGAGCTAAGAGATGGACTACCCACACACAGCAGTACCAACCTGTACCCTAACTTTGTAGAGCTCCTGCCTGCATAGTAACTCCTATAAAACACAGGAAGTGTCAGGGCATGATTAAGGGCAACACGCTCCACTCTACACAAACCTGCCACAGGACACCCAGAAGACACCGTGCTCCAGAGAGCAGAGGGCCAGTGTCCAGCATCATGGGGGTGGAGTGCTCCAACACCAGCTGAAAACCCTGTCTCAGAGCACAGAGGGAACGGGAGGAAAGTAGGGTGCTGCTTGGAGCCTGCCTTCCTGGTGGAACAAGCAGGCTAGCCCAGCATGCTGAGTACTCCAGAGGGAGATGCATGCCTTGAGTCTCCTGCTGAGAAACTTCAGTGATATGCTGATGGCCACCAGCGGCCACTGGAATGATGGTGACCATTCAGGGTACCCCTGCATTACCCTTAAGAGAATACACCCCTTCAACAATGGCTGGTTGTTCTCTTAGCAACCCTTACTTAGCCCTGAGCTTCACTAGGGGAGACAAGGGTTTGACATCAGGTGAGGTGGCAGCTGGCAGGGTGACAGCAGGTGCAGGCTGAGTGCTGGTTTCATTATGGGGCATCAGCCTAGTCATGTCACCCTAAGGTCGTCATCACAGCCTGGCATGGGTCCATGGGCTCCGCGTTCAGTCCCAAGAAGGCTTGAACTTGGCTCCTGGGTAAGAAGTGAGTATTCTCTCTTACACTCCCCACGGTTTATCTACCCAGGGAGAAGGCTATTCTCGAATCCTCCACAGGGCCATAACCTTGCTCAGAAGGGGTCCCTTTGTGCAGACAGATAACTGTATTTCAAGC